GCAGGGGGGTTGGTGCGACCCTCCCTGGCGTTTGAAAACGGAGCGTCGTAGAGCTTAGCGGAAAAGACTAACGGATTGCTCTCAACGAGATCTCGCGATTGGTGGTATATTTTTTGGTCCTAGGTCAACATTTGACCTACTTATGACCGGTCAAAGGTCAAATTTTCGGAAAAATCTAACTTTTTCAGATTTCCGCGCCGATTGCGGCAAAACGGTAAGAGATATCGACTTGAAACCTTCACTATCGTGATCCTTGATCAATTCTCTATCGTTTGGTGTGTATTTCGATGTCATAACTCTAAAAATGATGCGTTGGGAGCATCGGAAGTCTGCAAGGTCATTTGTGCATTGGGTCACGTCAGGCATGTGACGTCACTGACCTGACCCTGACCCAAAATGAACTACAAGAAACAACCGACGATGCCTGAAATGGATAGCAAATTCGAATTCAGGGCATCAAAATACCCCGAAAAGGCATACAAGTGCAAGAAGTCATTACAGGTCAACCGAGGTCACTGACGTGACCTTGACCTTAAGTAACCTTGAAAAGGTCAACGGACATTGTGCCAATGTCAAATCAGCCAGTTATGATTCTAAAACAATCCATCAGTTTGTCAGGTCAGTCGGCATTTATACCAATGTGAAGCAATCTCCAATTTAGCGTAAATCTGGCCGGAGGCTGTTCCCTTTATGACGTCATAACTCCGTGACCTGACATGACCTTGACAAAAAAAAAATAACAAAAGTTGCGCAAAGGATGCCCCATAGGGTACTGAAAATTTGAGCAGGCTATCTGAAACGGTTCGGCGTGTAGCTAAGAAAAACCTCAGGGGGGGGGGGGGTTGCACCAACGCGGGACGGCGTTGGTGCAACGTTGGACTCGCCCCCTACATGGGCGAGGGTTAAGTTGAAAGTATTAATTAGGTTCAAATTGATGATGTAGATAACTTAGTTATCGTAGAAGAATAACCGTATGCTCACTATCTTTTAACAATCCAAAATTAGCCTAAAATGAATGAATATATTTCGGAAACGTTCCTTCTGCCAGAAGAAGAAGGAAGAAGGAAGAAGGAACGTTTCCGAAATATATTCATTCATTTTAGGCTAATTTTGGATTGTTAAAAGATAGTGAGCAGACGGTTATTCTTCTACGATATTCAATCATGCTGCTCATTCTAGTACTTCGCCACCTTAAGTTATTTAAATCTAAATATCTTATGACGAGAGCTATGATTGGCATTTTTGGTATGCAGTGTTATTCATTGAAAACCGGTCGGAGCGTTTGAGTCTTTAATTTAGTGGTCACCGCTTACTAATCATGCGGCATACACGCCGCACATAACCGCCAATGCCGCAACGCAGCTTAGATTTCGAAGTAAGCATTTAGTCTCACCCGTTTTCCTTCCGTTTGTGGCGCTGTGCAGCGTTGAGGGAGTGAGCGTGCTTCATGCGGAGGCTTTTCAGGCATATATCCTTAGAAATGAGTCTGCGCATAGAACGCTCGGACACATGAAGGTCCCCCGGGCCATTTGGCGCATGGAACGCTCGGGGTAGCGGACAATCCCGCTGCGAAACGCGGCTTTCAGCTGAGGCGTGCGGGCGGACCGGGGGCAGCCAGACTTGGCGATATGTCGCCAATTTGGCGAATTTTGAAAGTCATTGGCGATAGAAGCACGGCATTTGGCGATAGGCGATAAAACGTCAAATGTTGGCGAATTTCCAGAGTTCACCTCCAAATCACCGAATATTATTTTAAAAATAAGCAAAACAAAGCAAAAAACATCGTTACGAAATATTTCGTAATCTGATTAATTTAACCTTCCAACGTTTCATATTAGGCACTCAAATATAAAATGTTCCTGATGAAAATATCTTCTGCTTACTTGTAAACAACTTTGTGGCGTGTTGCGGGAATGACGGGAACGGTTGCTTGGCGTGTTGCGAATTTGATTGTTTCACATTTACGAAGTAGTTTTGGTGCCTTCGTAACATGTTACGAAGCGTTCAGAGGCGGATGACAGGGACTACGAATACCCGTCACGACCCCTACCGGTTGACCTGACCTGACCTGACCCGACCTGGTCTAAACGTTTAACGACACCATCTGTGATCAAAACTAGCACGATATTCGTGATCAGCACCCCGGAGAACTCCTTAGCAGCCACGCTTTACGACTTTCTAACAGGTCCCGATATTCCCGATTTTTGGGTCATTGACCTGACCTGGAAGGTCAACCGATGACCTAGGACCTTAAAATTGGGTATCATTGGCTTCCTCTCGTGACGGGCAGCACGCTCGTTTTTTTTCCGCGAAGCTCTAGCTCCATCAGGGGCCAAACGCGAGGGGGGTCGTACCACCCCCCCCCCTTGTGCCGTCGAAGGACTCAAAATGGCCTGTGTGCCGGCGAGGTAGATGAATATGAGAAACGAGATAGATAAATCGTGAACTTGGAAACGAATCGTGAACACGGTTACACGAACGCCAACTTGCGCTGCTACGTATGCTTATACAGTGCATCCTATTTCGCGATTTTTGGCGAAATTCGAGGGGTGAATTTGGCGATAAGGACCATTCTGGATCTGGCAACCCTGGGGGCAGCCGGAACGGAATCGGTCTCCGGTACTCTGGGTCTCCTGGTACCGGGTCCACGTCCGATACACAAGATTCCGCGTGCAGCGAAGCGTGCGACATATCTTTGCTACCGAGATATCCGCCATCTTCATGCAGACGATAGCCCCGCGAACTTTCTTTGTTGGGGAGAAAGGCGGCATGGTGTGCACTTAGCTGTCGGACGGTCAGTTACCATTTGTTTAACCCGCGCCGGGCCGGTGCTCTGAAATTCCGCGCCGGGCCGCGGGGGGGTGTTTGAACACCCCCCCCCCCTTCTAACTCGGCTCCAGGGCCACGTAGCGACACGCGGTAAGCGGCAATCGAAAGAACGTCCAAAATAAGGACGAAAACACTTCGGTCATTTTTTGGGTCAGGTCAAAGGTCAGGTCACCGGAGGTCACCAAAGGTCAAATGTTCACTATTTCAACATTTTGGAAACTGCCAACGGCTATCTCGGGAACCGATAGAGCTACAGGGCCGCAAAAAAAGCGCATTCGATAGCCCTTTTACAGACCTTTCTGAGTAATGTTCTCAGATTTGACCTCAGGTCAACGGTTTAGCCTCCAGAAGGCAAAAACTCCAAAAATAGCCGTTTTTATGAAAAACGTTTTTTCGGCAATAACTTTTGACTCAAAAGAGCTATGACATTACTTTTGCCAGCATCGTGTTCCTCTCGTCGAGACGCGTCGAATGAACTATAATTTGACCTTGAAAGGTCAACTTGAAAATGACCTCAGGTCAAGGTCATGACCTGACCGGAAAAGGTCATGTTGCATATCAGTCGATCCGCAACGTCGAGCCGAACACATCTAAGGCGTTTTCAGCGCTCTAGCACGCCTCTATCAGAAGTTATCATCGAAAAACTGTTAGATTCTGTTCGTGACCTGAGATGACCTCGGGGACATAGCGAGGGGTCACAGTTGCCAGTTTCTGGTTCAGTGTGTCCATTTTACCTACATCTCGATGTTTGAGAGTGTCTAGAATAGCGTTCGTGCAAAACAGGCGCTTTTCAATTTTCTCCCATTGACTTATAATGGAGAGGCCGCAAAATTGACCTGACCTTAGGTCACCGATATCAAAATTCCGAGATATACATTTTATAGATAGTGTTGCTCTAATCAATCGCTGAAAGTTTCAAAGCAATCGTTTAGTCGGTGTAGCTATGACGAGCATTCTTATTTTTTCTGAGGTGAGGTCACTTGGCGTGACCTGGTGACCTGACCTAAGGTGACCTGGGTCTGAAATTTTCACAACATGTGCGGAAAAGATGCACAAACAGGTGTGCCAAAAACGGCGGCGCTCCGCGCCGCCGTTTTTGAGATACCTGCGAAAAACCGCAAGGGGGGTGTTCAAACACCCCCCCGGCCCGGCGCGGGTTAATTAATTAAGGCTTAGCTAGTAAATATTTTTTCATGATATCACGCGTGCCTTGACATTACTTCATAGAGATCTCTATCTCTATCTTCATAGAGATCTCGAGCCTCTACTGAAATACTCAACTCTGTAAACCTGTTGTAACTCTTTTAATTAATAAAAGAAAAAGTGTACCAGAACTTATGCCGCACCCTGTAGAAAAGTGCATTTTTATGTCAAAAATAAAAAGTTGAAAAATTGACCTTTTTTCTTAGCCCTCGTTTAGTTATGCATGGTATAAACGATTTTTTATGCTTTCAATGCACACTTATCACCAGCACTGTGACTTGGGGTCACATATAACCATTACTGTCGGATTCGGCGTGAAAAATAAGCCATAAAACATGTGTCGCACGCCCATGTAGTAGAAAGTGAAAACCGTGACCTTTCGTGACCTGACATGACCTTGACCCGTTCTTAGTATGACCCCTATACGCACATGGTACCTTCACTAGGTCTTTGAGGTCATTTTTGGTGAGTTTTGAGCAGCAGCTATTGATTCCGCTGTCCGTAAGCCTAATCATGCAAAACCCCAGAATTTGACCTTTGACCTGACCCTGACCCGAAAGTTGACCTCAATCTTAAAATTTTAAGAGTGCTTTGGGAAGGTCTCGTAGAGACCTTTCGAACGCCGCCTCGCGGGGCTCGATGCGACCATTGGTTCTCGAGATAAAAGGGGGTCGGATCCGACCCCCCCCCCCAGGCTGTCGTGGGTACGAAAATAGCCCAGGCGGTGCCGGGTTAAGCGGCCTGGCCCCCATACAGCTGGGCACCCACAATCATTTTAGGAAAATTACACCCCTGTTTGAGGTGCCCACTCCGATTTGCACCCCCAATGTCATTTCTAAAGATACACTTATGCGTAAAAGTACCTATGTGGCATTATCCATTCATATTTTCAAAACTCCTATACTGAGTCATACTTTGCCAGCATTCCTGACAAAGTACGACTACGAGTCGAAAAGGTGCAGCCTTACCATAAAGTAGCTTTTGTCCTGCACCATGCGGGACCGGCCGGATCCACCCGTCTTCATGCCCGACAGGCCCTGCTGGGTGATGGGGCGGCTCATGACGCGAATCTTCTCCATGGAGCCCGTCACCGGGCGCATCGAGCCCGCCCGCGAAACGGCGGCGCGCGACACCGGCGCTACTGGCGCGGCGCCGGTGAACGGGCGACCCGAGGCGCCGGTGAACGGGCGACCCGACGTGCCCGGCCTGCCGGTCTCCTGCTGCGGAACAAACAACGGAGGCTTTACGCGAGCTTTGCCAAAAGGCTGGGAACGTGGGTATATAAATAGGTGCATCAACAGGCAACACTTCTGTCATATTTAACACATGATTTAGCAACTCGCATTAGGACTTCCCGGCATCTTCCCGGATGAGGCAGTTCGCCTCAGAGGCCTGTTTCACTTACAAATAAAGTTTGCAATTACAAAGGGAAAAATTGAGTCTAAAAGAAATAATTACCAAGATTTGAGATTTCGATTTCACGGAAAATCCGAGCAATTTTGAGTTTACAATTTACTTTCTTTTTATAAGAAAAGGTTTATAAGGAAACATTAAAATCGTTAACTGTTTCACGAAGACCAGGAACTTGAAAGAAAACATTGTATTTACAAAACCTGATACTCCAGTGCTCTTGGCGTTCTGAGTTTGGTTACTTTTAGTGAAATAATGCAAACCAACCCATTATTTAGAACAAATGTGCAATTCTGAGTCGTTTTATGCTCTTCTTTACGTAGCACATTTCTAAGGAACCACTAACCAGGTATGAACAAAATTAAATGTCGTCATGTTTTGTCATGCGCGCGCCATAATTGCATTCAACAGTTTTCTGCTATCAAATGTTTTGAGTGCTAATTTCTTTCAATAATAAGAAATTGTGATCGATCATTTATATTATTTTGCTGGAAATATTTCTACTCAGAAGGGCCCCATGGGGCTCGTTACAGCACCTCTTGGGCCCTAAATAGCCACACTAAGATCTCCATAAGGGCCCCACGCCGGCTTCTAAGGGCCGCTTGCGGCTTTTAAGGGCACCTCGGTGGTCTCCAAAGGCCCGTTACTGGCCTCTGAGAGGTCTTATCGGCCTATGAGGGGCCAGTTCTAGGGGCATTTCCCGCCTGTGATGGTCCCACACTCATTTTTCTGAGGGCCCCATAACGGCAACTGTGGGGCCCTCGTCGGCGCCAATGAGGGCCCACACCGGTGTCTCTGAGGGTTTCACACCTCCAACTGAGTGCCTACACCAGTGCCTATTAAAGCCCTATATCGGCAGGTCTAAGGACCCAGCCAACACCTGCGAATCTAAAGGCCACCCACTGGTGACTTTTGAGGGCCCCACACCGTTGACTCTGAGGACCCCACCGGCGTCTGACATTACCATTCCGGTCTCCAAGGACCCCACAGGACTTCTTCTGCCGGCCTACGGACCCCTTGCCGGTCACTGAGACCCCCTGCCGGCTTGTAGAGAGTTTGCGTCAGCAGCTCTTTTAGCCGGTCCCGTAGCTCAGTTGGTAGAGCGTTGGACTCCGCGTGGTGAGAGCACGCGTTCCCGGTTATAACAGTCCGGATTCGAAGCGCGACGGGCGCTCGACATTTATGGGCCTCCTGACAGGTATGGCTGCGGTTGGTGGCAGGCCGTAGCCAGGCGAAGTCAGTGAGGGGACCGGCCGTGCGCGGCTATGTGCGCACGTTGAACTTTGGACTGCAAATTCTGCCATAGAACCGGCATTGCGCGATCGGAGGGTAGAGGGCAGGGTCATTGCAACAAGCTTCGCTTAGCGGTGGCTCTGTCCTTGTGAATCCTTCCTATCAAAAGGTTCGGACTAAATTTATAAAAAAAAGCTCTAAAGGCCCCACACCCGTCTGTAACGGCTCCACACCAGCGTCTATGAGGGCCCACAGCAACGCCTGTAAGGACCCTCATCGGCGCCTCTGAGAGAATCACACTAGCACCTCTGAGCGCCCACACCGGCACCTGCATGGCGGCCCCACACCGGTGCCTCTAAAGGCCCCTTATCGGCGGCTCTGAGGGCCCTACGCCGGTGATTCTGAGGGTGCTACCGATAACCGAAGGCACCACACAAGGCCTTAGTGTCGCTGAGCTTTAATCCCATACCGGCCCTCCGAGGGCGCCACGTCAACGGCACTCATTTCCCCACACCCCTCCCTCACACCCGGAGCGGGTAAACTGTGTTATACCTATAGCAACGATTTTACCACCGTTGTACGTTATGTATTTCTCAAAGTTGACTCAAAATGGTCCAGTATAAAATCTAGCCTGCCAAACTTATGGCCAAGGTCAGGCCCAAATCAAAGCAGAGCTCTGTTTGCCAACCGTTTATTTATCAGCATGCTGCGAGCATGCTGCTACTTCTTGGCTCCTCATTGGTCAAATTCAAGTGGTCTATTCGTTAGACCAATGAGAGGCCAAGAAGCGCCAGCAATAACTTCCTTATATGGGAAAAGCCGACAGTACGCTGATATAAAAAACAGCCACCGAACAGGGCCCGGGATGACAATAGCAGATGTTGTCAAATCGATACTGTATCAGCAGAAACCATTCAGATCGCAAGGAAAATGACGTGTGTTGATGTTTAGCTGTATAAAGGAAAAAAGGATGAAAGAAGTCCGGAAAAGGGAGGAAAGATCTATTCTCACTGCCTCAATGTTGAGGGGGCGCCGCCCCCTCGGCTCCCAAGTTGGGGGGGGCAAGCGCCCCCGCTGCCCCCCCCCCCCGCTGTTCCCGGGTCTATGGTTTCTGACACACTACATCTACAGCGTCCATCACAGGTACTTTAGTAAATAGAGAAACAACATCAAAGCTCACCATTACATCTGATTGCGAGATTTCCATTTCCCTCACCTGATCTACGAAAGCACTTGAATTGGGTACCGTATATTCAGATTTGCCCACCACAGGACTGATCACCTTGGTCAGGTACGATGCTGTTTCGTACGCTGGAGAGTCGATCATGCTAGTGATAGGTCTCACTGGTGTTCTTGACTTGTGGGTCTTGGGAAGGCAGTAAAGTTTAGGAGCGGTCGTGTGTGTGTGTCGGACGTAATTTCTTCGCAAGTTCGTTCGTCATATCGCCGTTCTTCCTCAGAGAGTCGATCACGTTTCTCATCATTTTTTCTTTTCCAGGTGTAGGCAGGGCTGAAAAAAAGTGTTTCGGTGGTTGTCGTCCGAAGGAAAACGGGCTTATTTGGTTGTCGACTAAAGATGTCTAACCCGCGCTCCGCTGAGGGTCCTTGATTTCCACGCCCTGCTGGAGGGGGGGGGGGGGAGGGCCGGGTCCAACACCCCGCTCTTTCAACTCTGATCCTGGGTCGATAAGGACGAAAATATGTCATTCATTTTTTAGGTTAACCCGCGCCCTGATGGGGGGGGTGCATTTTGGCCCCCCCCTGTGGTTTTTCTTAAATAGCGAGAAAATGGCGGCGCGCAGCGCCGCCAAATTTTGGGTACCTTACCGGGCATCAATTTGACACCTTCACACAAAATCTCAAGTCACAGGTCACCTCAGGTCAGGAGTTATTGAGGTCAAACTGAGGTCATGTTCGAGCAAAAATAAGCAAAAAACATGACATCTTGAAACGCTCACCAATTCTACAGTTAACAAGCAATTTTAAAGTTCTTTATGTGGTTGTGTAGAGAAAAGACGGCGCTACAAAACTGCTATCTCGGATTTTCGAAATTTTTGGATTTTGACCCCCAAAAATCATAAAGATTGATTTTTTTAGAAAAACTCAAAAAATTTCCAAAAATTTTTCGAATTTCGAAAAAACCGGAATATATGTGATAGTCCCTGCGCTCTTCGATATACATACCAAATTTTAGATCGATACCTCTTTTTTTGGCCAAGTTATAGCGAAAAAACTGTTAAAAATTGATGACGTCAAATTTTTGAACTCAATTTTTAGCAATTCTAGACCTCGTAGCGCAAAACGGAGACCACCATTGAACTCCCCGTGACGAGCTGCATCGAATCGATACCCATTTTATGCAAATATATCAACTTTGAAATTTGACCTAATTTGACCTGACCTTGACCTGACCTTGACCTGACCTTGACCAAAACGTGACCTAAGCTGGCCCTAAAGTCTGTCTGACCCACATAATCGCATTTGTCATGTAAAATGGACCATAAAACATGTATCACACGACACTTTCATATTGTGACCCCCCCCCCAGTGACCTGACCTCTGTGACCTGACCTGGTATCAGTGACCTCAAATAGCAAAATATGTGTTTGAAGAACTTTTCTCCATCGATAATTTTCAATGAAATGCATTTTACTCGATTTTACAACGCATTTCTTGAAATGCCTGTAAACGGTGAAAATTCGACCTTTGACCTGACCTGTGACGTCATCGGTTTGACCGAGGTCAATGAAATTGGGTCACAAGGTAGTTCCCCGCTGGGGCTATCCAACACCGTTTACCGCTTGTCGCTATGTTGCGTGGTTCTCGAGATCTGAGGGGGGGCCAAAATGGCCCCCCCCATCAGACCGCGTTGCTCGGCAGACCCCATCTGGGCGCGGCTTAAGTCAAAGGTCATGTCACCAGATGCCATTAACCTTCCAGGCGGTGGGGGGGGGGGCATTTTTTTGCCCCCCCCCCCTTAGTTTTTTCGATATATCTCGAGAACCGCTGCGCCGATCGTCACCAAACTTTCAGTACCCTCCCGGGAGTAGCTAGCGCACATGGTGACCAAAAAATTTTTCCAAAGGCTATGATAGATTGGCCGCTAATGACGTTAGAGTGACGTCAATTCTGCCATTTTCGACCCAAAAAAGGTTTCGCGGGAAGAGCTGTCAGGCCTACAGCTTTAGAGATAGGTACAGAAAAATGTTTCAGACATAAAAGGTGTGGAATCAAGAGGGCTACAAAACTGCTATTTCAATTTTTCAAATTATGGATTTTGACCTCTAAAATTCACAAAAAAAAAGATTTTTTGAATATAATAGCCGAAAAATCCAAAAAGTTTTTTGAATTTCGAGAAAAACGGAATATGTGTGATATGCCCTACCGCCATCTATCTACATACCAAATTTGAGATCGATACCTCTTTTTTTAGCCAAGTTATAGCGAAAAACTGTTCAAAATTGATCACGTCAAATTTTCAAACTCAATTTTTAGCAATTCTAGACCTCGTAGCGCAAAACAAAGACCACCATTATACTCCCCGTGACGAGCTGCATCGAATCAATACCCATTTTAT